AAATGTCCACAACGGGGTTATCCATGAAGACAGGAAATAGACTAAAAGTGGCTGGGTGCAGTGGGAGAAGGGAAAAATGGGGAGGGACCAATGCTGGGTAGCAATGATACTTTCTGGAGTGAGGACATATTCTGGAATTAGATAACAGTAATGGTCGAACAGCTCTGTGAATGTCCTAAAAACCATGGAATCGTAACACTATATAAGGACTAGCACTTTCAGATGCTGAGCATGAGGTTCACAAGTTTGAGCCTCTCTTGTTCAACTTAGTGAGAATCTGTCTCAAAATAAAAAATTAAAAAGGCTGGAAATGTAGCTTTCAATATAGGGCCCTGAGTTCAATCTCCAGGGTGGGGTGAGGCAGCACCCCAAGATGCTTGAGACAGCATCTTGCTATGTAGTCTCCAGGAGATGCTCCTGCCCCAGTCTCCTCAGTACTGGGATTACAAGCATGCCATACTAAGGACTGAACTTAGGGGAACCCTAGTGCTAAGCGTACCTCATGCCCTACCCTTTCATTTATTCTGAGGCAAGGTCTTGCCAAGTTTCCCAGGCTGGCCTGGAACCTGAGATCCTCCTGCCTCTGTGCTTGGCTATGAATTATATCTTTAAAAGCTCAGCAATTCCATCCTGGCCATGCCAGAGGCAAATGAAGCACCACCTTGCCTACCATGGCCCCTTGGTCCTCCAAGCCAGTACCAACACTGGCCTCTAGTTCCCGCTGACTCCACCCTCCTTCCCACACATGCTGCTGTTCAGACTTGGTGAGTTCCCAGTGGTATTCAGAGAAGCACCCTGTGCTCCCAGCTTCCCTTGTGCTGGGACCTGGTCCTGGGGTCCAGCGCAGGCAGAAGAGCAATGTAGTGATCTTTGTGGAGACTGCTCTCTCTCCTGCCGCTCCACCTGCGGGCACTAAGTGTTTTCAGCCCCTCCTGCGAGGTTAGCAGTCTACAGCAGCCTGTCTTCTGCAAGTATCCCAAGGACATCCAGGAAACACGATGCGAGCCTTGTCTGGTTGCTTTCTTTACTCGCTCTAAACAACATGCTGGCTGGCCACTGATGGAATTGTCTGGGTGCAGGAGACCACTGGGAGACCTGTGTGTGTATTCAGGGAGTTGTTAGGAAGGCCTGACAGCAAGAGATCAAAGGTGATCTCCTGGACCTGCACTTGCAGTGTCCCAGCTCCCTGCTCCCTGCAGATAAGGAAAGAATGTCTTCCTAAGTATGTATACTCAGATGTATGCTTGCCATAGCTTGGCTCCACAAACAAAATTTATTATTACCATGTATAAACTCTGTGGTGTTTTAACTTTTGTGATGATTAACACAGCCTGTGACTAGTGACATGTAGCAGCTCACTATGTAGGGTATAAAAAGAGGAACAAATAAAGATCTGGGTCTTTGCTCCTCAAAGCTTTGATCCCAGTGCCTTGTCTTTCATTTCTTAATAAAGTCCCTCTCCCTTAGAGACCCCAAACAGGCCATAGTGGCACTCATACCCCTGTAATCCTAGCACTAGGGAGGTTGAGGCAGGATGTTTGCCTCAAGTTTGCTGCTAGCTTGGGCTACATAGTGAGATCCTGTCTCTAAATCTAACAAATAAATGCTGCAGTATTTGCTACCCATCCATCCATCCATCCACCCAGGGTCTTGCTCTGTCCAAGGCTGGCCTAGATCCCTAACAGTACCTCCTACATCAATGCTATATGAACTGCTGCTCCAGCATATTGTCCTGCTAATCTTTTTTTTTTTTTTAAATTGTTTTTTTGTTCGTTTGTTTTTTGAGACAGGGTCTCAGCATGTAGTTGAGACTCTCCTGGAACTCACTATGTAGCCCAGGCTGGTCTTGAACTCACAGTGATCCTCCTGCCTCAGCCTCCCAAGTGCTGGGATTACAGGTGTGTGCCACGATGGCCAGCTGTCCTGCTAATCTGAAAACTGAAAACTCAGATATGGAAGCAAAGCTGGAAAAGCAAGCTTCTTGGGTTTTACCCTGGAGGGCTTCTTAAGGCAGAGATGTTACAGATACTGCTAGGCTGTAGAAGGGGCACCAATAGCCAGAAACACAGCAGGCGCCCTTCAAGTCCTGTGACCCAGTTCTGTCCAGTGAAGCCAGGTAGGAAGACTGTCCTGATACAAAAAGAAAAAAACTGGGTGTGGGGCACATACTTGTAATCCCAGCATTCTGGGGGGCTGAGGCAGGAAGACAGCAAGTTTGAGTCCCACCTGGGCAATTTGATTACTTAGCCAGACTCTATACCACAAAATAAAATAAAAATAAAAAAAGAGAAAGGAAAAGGGAAAAGCCAAGATCTCTTAAACCTCACCTTTCAGCCTCGAATACCATTGCCTCAAGAGAAGATGGTTACGCTTGGAGCTATAGCAGCAGTTCTGTGGCCCCAAAGGAAGTACGGCAAAGAGCAGACACTGAAGCCAGTGCCCAGTGCTGCAGATCTGTTGAATATACCACAGCACCATGCACTCCAGGTACTTTGTCATGAGAGACAACAAACCGCTCTTCATGGTGGGGGGGCCGTTAGGCACAGTTTAAACAGAGCCCAAGCCAGGTGTGGTGGTGCACGCCCATGATCCCAGCATTTGGGACGATGAGGCAGGAGGACTGCTGTGCATCTTGAGGCTAGCCTGAACCACAAAGTGAGACCGTCTTTGAAAAACAAAAAAAAAGCAACAGAGCCCAACTAAAACATGGCTTTTCTTGAGATTCTGGACCTGCTGTTACCTGCACAAGCCTGGGCCACAGCCCTTGGCACATGGCAGCTGAGCCCTAGGCTGTGAGTGCCCTCAGTCTCTGCCCAAAGGTTCCGGCCGGGGTGGTCTGGCAACCCTCTGCCGGCCTCTGTGCCCGATTCCCACTGACCTCCATCCACCCTTCCTGCTCCCTCTCCAACCTATCCCAGGGCCCCAGACTACTGAGGACAAGGACTGTGCCTCCTGCTCTAGCCAGGCAGTCATCAATGCATCTTTGCCACACAAGGACCAGCACTCCTAGGCTGAGGTCTGGTGACCTTCTGGAATGTTCTGTGCCCCGAGCTCACCAAGCCTTCGCGTGGGTGACACGTGCTGCTTCTCTGTACACAGAACGGCTCCCCTTCCTTTGGCTGTACACCTGGGACTCTCAGGCCCTCAGAGCCATGGCTCTAAATCTGGGTCCCAGCCCTGTCCTGGCCCTTAGTGCTCCTGACACAAGCAGACACAGATGCCAGGAGAGGCAGCTGTCCCCAGCACTGCAGCCCCATGGGATACTGGAGCTCTGAGGAGTGCGACTTCCTTTTTCATCCAGTTCTGACAGTGATGCCCCTGGCCTGGGGTGCAGCTGTCTTAGCACATGGAAGGCCCTGGGTCCCAGCCCCCTTGGGCAGCCCCCCAAGTGTCCTCCTGTCACCCCCTGCCCAGCCCCCGTAGCTGTCATCTACTTTGTCTCTAAAAATCCCATGTCAATTGATTCCTGAGACACTTGTCCTTTTGGGAATGGCTTGAGTTATCCCATATTTTCATCCACATGGTAGGATGCTAGAGTTTGCTTCCAGGGTGGAGTAGTATTCTGTTACCCTGTTTTGTTTACCCACTCATCCACTGGTTTCCCCCTTTTGGCTATCATGAATAATACTGCTGCCTGGCCTGGTGGCACACAACTATAATCCCAGAAGTTGGGAGGCTGAGGCAGGAGGATCGATGCAAGTTCAAGGCCAGCCTGGGCTGCTAAGTAAGTGCAAGGCCAGCATGAACTACATAGCAAGACCCTGTCAAAATACCAAAAATAATAATGCTGCAGTGAACACCCATGTTCAAGTTTGTGTTCAGGTCACTGCTCCAATTTTTTTGTGGGCCCTGCCTCTGCCTCCCCCAGAATCAGCAGGGAGGCAGAGGGCAGCCCTAGAGTCCCTTTGGCAGTCTACCCTGCAGGGTAGGGGACAGAACCTAGGTGCCGTCCACAGGCTACGCCCAGGCTACGAAGCCACTGCAGAGCTGAGCAGGAGCTCGGGGCACTTTCTTGCCCCTCCTGATGGAGAGAGAATCAGGGACCGTGTGTCAAGAGGAAAGGACCCTGGAGCATTCCTTCTGTCCCTGCAGAGGAGATGCATGCCACTACCCACAGGAGAAGAGCAGGACAAGGATGCCTTTGTCTCAGAAAGGGCAGGCTTGCCGCAGAGGCGTCCATAGGGGCAGGAAAGGGCAGCCCGGGGCTCAGGGGCAGGGGTTATGCAAAGGGAGAGGATGCCCAGACAGTGCCATTCAGGCCTTGGAGAGGGGTCCCCATTGAGCTGGAGGGGTGTATGGAATGTGCAAATGAGACAGATGGCCCTCAGCTCAGCCAACTACTAAAGCCAAGTGGCACAGCACAGAAACGCCAATCTGGCATACCAGAGGACCATCTCGGTCCCAGTGCTGTGGTCCGTGCTATGCAGGGAAGCTGGGCAGACTGAGGCCAAATACGGGCAGGGTCTGGGCACCATGAGTCCCTTTGCCACCTGCTGTAGGCAACTTTTAGCTAATTAAGTTATTTTTTGGTGCCAAAGCATCTAGAACCAGGTACCAAATGTTGACAGTCTGGGGAGTGTGCAGCCACTCAGGGGCCTGCTAATTACTTTTACTCAACTAGGAATGCAGGATACTCCTAAATACAGGATCTGGGCAAAGCACAGCCCTGACCCAGGGGCTCCAGGGATGTTCAATCTGCCAGGAGAGGACAGCTTGGGGGCCTCCCCCTCGGTGACTCATCCCCATCGGAGGCCATCGATTCCCTTCCAGCTCTTCCTCAGCCAACTTCCCAGCTGCTCTGGGTCCCCAGGGTCTGCAAGGTCATGGTCACCTGGATCTAAGAGGGTCAGAGGTTCAGCTTGTCACCAACACTGTACCAAGGCCAAGGACAGGTGGCTTGATGTCTCCACTGCAGGGACATGCGGTGGCCCCACCCCCAACAGCTTGCCTGCATGCTGGGCTAAGAGCTTGGGGACTCCATCCTGTACCCTGGTACTGACCAGGCTGGCGGAAGAGCTCATCGAGGCTGAGATCCCACAGGAGAGCAAAGGCCCTTGAAGATGTGTCTGGAGGCCACGTTAGCAGCTGGAGGAAGAAAGCAAGCTCATCTTCATGGATCAACAGTAGCAAACACCTATTATTCCACATTGGAAAATCCCATTTAGCCTGGCCTGGTGGTACATGCTTGTAATCCCAGCACTCAGGAGGCTGAGGCTAGAGGATCACTGTGAGTTTTGAGGCCAGCCTGAGCTACACAGCAACTTCAAAGCCAGCCTGCACTATACAGTGAGATCCTGTCTCATAAAAACAAGCAAAACAGGGGTCAGGGATTTAGCTCAGTGGTTCAGCTTCCTGCCTCACAAGCACAAGGTCCTGAGTTCAATCCCCGGTACCAATCCCCCCTCAAAAAAACCAAGCAAAATAAAATAATCTCATTTAATCCACACGGTAGATGGATATTGCCATTCCTGCCATTTTGCAGACAAGGAAACCATGCTCAGGGAGGTCAAGTAACTCCTCTGGGTCATATAGCTAGAATTATAAGTAGAAAGGCCAGGCATGAAGGCCGGGCATGCGACTTGAGATATGTCACTTGCACCTATGTGGAGTCTTGGTCCTTGTACCCTTTGAGTCCCTGGGTCACAGCCATGCCCTTGCTGGGCAGGGACAAATGTAGGGGAAAAGGCTGGGAGGCACTGATGCAGTTAGCTGGCCAAGGACAAGTGCTGGCCTGCTGCGCTTCCTGCATTGTGTCCAGGATGGTGCCTACACCATCACCTGGAGGCTGGGCTCAGGGAGTCCTGGTACCGCAGCACTGCTCCTATGCATCTGGGTTGGGGACGCTCCTCGGTGTGAGCTTGCATCTCCTCTGTGTGCGGGTCATGTGCCAAGGATGGGGACCCCAGGGAGAGCATGTGGTTTAGACAGGCAAGGGAACACAGGAAGCTGCACATGATAGGTCATGTTGTGCCATCCTCCTGCTGCTAGGGCACCGGGGATGCAGGCGGGCCCCCATGGGACAGGGCATTGCTGCTGTCACAAGCTGAGCTAAGGCCCTTTCTACACACTGAGCTTGGGGGCCCCCAGCTGCACCCTCTGCTCTCAACATGCACCCTGTACCCCATAACCAGCTGAGCCCTATGCCTCAACTTGGCAGCCCTAAAGGGTTGCCTAGGTCTGTAGCATGCCTCAACTGCAAGGTTGTCTGGGGTCATCTTTGTACTGCTGTTTTGAGACAGGTCTCACTATGTACTTCACTGGCCTTAAACTTGTGGCGACCCTCCTGCCTCAGCCTCTTGTAAACTAGGATTATAAGCGTGCACCAATGAACTTGGTGGCCCTACTTTTTTTTTTTTTTTTTTTTTTTTTTTTTTTTTTTTTTTTTTTTTTTTTTTTTTTTTTTTTTTTTTTTTTTTTTTTTTTTTTTTTTTGGTACCAGGGATCAAACTCAGGAGGAAGGTGTGGTGCCACTGAGCTAAATCCCTGCCCCCCCTCCCCCTGCATCTTTCTTTGTTTGTTTTCTGGAACCAGGGGTTGAACTCAGGTCCTTTCACTTGGAAAGCAGGCACTGGAACCACTGAGCTAAATCCCCAGCCCATCCCCCTGCATCTTTATAAGCACCTCATGAGGCAGCTTCTGGCTAGAATCCTCACCACCTGTAGGAGGCTTTGAAGTCCTTACTACCTGCCCTGGCCCTGATCTGGAGGGGCCATATCTGGGATGCACCAGAAGCTTTGTGCTTGCATTGCTCCTTGCCAAAGGTGTCCGGGTCCCAAGCAGGGCTGCAGGGGCTACCGAGAAGGACAGTTTGCAGAATGCATTCCATAGCCCACGTGGGACAGAGCTGTGCTGAGGGCCCCTCCCAGCCTTGGGCTGGGGTCTCAGAACTTCACAGACACCCAGCCACCAATGGGGAGGGTGGCCCACACTGTATCAGGGTCGCACAAGGCCCTCTGTGGGTTACAACTTAGAGGGGCTCTTTGTGCATTTTGTCATCAGCTGTGCAAGGAGCAGCGAGAAGCTGCACTGGCCAGGCCAGAGAATAAAGGCCACACTGTTCATGTCCCCACCCGCTCCTCCTCCCTGGCCTGGGCCTGAGTGGGGCACTGGCTGGCCCTGCACCAGGCCCCAGGAGCTCCCACCCTCCTCCCTGGGGAAGGAGGGGTACCTCACAGCACCAGCTGCCCAGCTAGGGCTCCTAGAATGACCCACCCACAGGGCTCTGATTTACAGGTGGGATCCAGACTGCAGCTGGCTGCCCAGAACCCACTGGGACTTGTAACCAGCCCATCCCCAGGCAAGGCCAGCCTGGGTGTGGCAAGGCCAAGCTGCATCCTCATGCCCTGCATTTAGCTGGTGGCAGCTGGTGCCCAGATTGGCCCTGGGCCACAGCAGGTCCCTGTACCTCCAATTCTGGGTGTGACCAGCCTGAGGCAAGATAAAACTGAGGCCCCAGGCTTCCCTCTGTCAGGCTGTGCTGTTTGCGCCACCTAGTGGCCATGGAGGTCCTCACCTTGAGCAGCCACTGCAGCACAGGCACCGGACAGGGGACAGGGGAGTGGAGGTAGAGGTTGCTCAGGAGGCCACTGCGCAGGAAGGACAGCTGCTGTGATGGTGGGGCGCTGTGGGAGAGAGGGGTGCAGTGAGGGGTCTCCATGGCTGTCCAGGTGACCACAGGAGACCCCATAGTGTCAGGATGCCATGAAGCATCCTGGCTACTGTGGGCAAAGGTGCTTTGTGGAGCCCTCAGTGTGAGGTAATCAGAAGGAAAAACAACCCAAGCTGTCATCAAAAACATTTTTCTCCAGTGCTGTCCACAAACATACCTGAGAGTGTTTTATTTATTTGTTTTGGTACCGGGGATTGGACTGTGGACCTGCGCTTGCAAGGCCCTTGCAGAACCACTGAGCTAAATCCCCAGCCCAGTGTTTTATTTATAATTATTATTTTACGTTTTGGTTTGTTCTGAGATAGGTTCTTGCTATGTAGTCCAGGCTGGCCTTGAATTCACTTTGTAGTCTAGGCTGGCCTTGAACTCCAAGAGACCCTTTGTAAGTGTGTATCACACCTGGCCTCACAGTGTTTTAAATGCAAAAGTAGCTGGCGCGTGGCACCCTTTCCAAGGAACCAAAGGGAAACTGAGGTTTCTTCAAGGGAGGACAAGACTGCCTGAGGTGAAGCAACAAGGATGGAGCCAGTGCTCAGCCTGGGGCTCCAGGCCGAGGGACGGGCAGGGTTACCTGTGGGCTACACCAGCATCCTGGGTTCAGTTACTCAGTGTGTTTCCACCCAGCTTGTGTTTTTCCAACACAAAGGGGACACCCAAGTGTATCAGAAAACAACAGACAGGGTCCTGGGCAGGAGCTCTGAGAAGGAAGTCCCAAGTGCAGCTCCAGCAAGCAGCCTGTCCCGAGTCAGGGAGAGAGGCACTTGGGCTGCCACGGCTGTTGATTATAACCTGCATGCACACATGTGTTGTCCTGTCAGGTCCCCTCCTCTCAGAACTCATTCCTGGGATGGAGGGGACACTTGACCCATCCTCTTGGCCTACAGAATACTGGGTCTTCGTGAAAAGAGGAGGAGACTTATTCTGGCAGCTGTAAGGACTCCAGGTCAGAGTATTCTGGAAATCAGTTAAAGAGGTTGACAGAGTGTGGAGGCTCATGCCTGTAATCCCAGCACTCAGGAGGCTAAGGCAGGAGAATCTCAAGTTCGAGGCCAGCTTGGGGTACATAGTGAGTTCAAAGCCAGCCTGAATTACAGAGCGAGACCCTGTCTCAAGACAAACAAACAAAAACAACAACAAAAAAAAAACAAAACAAAAAAAACAAAGAGAAAGTGTTCAGCTGGACTGTACCATCTCCTGAAACTCCTGGTCCCCTGCCAAGACACTGGTTTGGCGCAGGAGCTCCCAGCCCTTGCATGTCATGCTTCTTCTCTCTAGATAACATCCCACAGATGACAAATGCAGATTCCAGGAAACGACAGTGATCTCATGTTTGCTCTTCTTTTTAGTGACCAGATCCCTGCAGAGCCTGAGATAGCATCTGATGTCACGACCCTGGAGAGCAATGTCTCCACCCACCCACCTCTCTTCCTCCTCCTAAGAGGCTCCAGGGCTTCTATCCTCAGGGGGACAGGGCATCCCAAAGTCGTACATCTCCCCAAGCCAGGGCATGGTCTCCCCTCAGGGTCTGTCTGGACAACTGACAAGCTGTATGGATACTTTTCCCTAAGTCATTTAAACTGGGAGGAGAAAAAGGATTTGTTTCTGTGGCTGTGAGACAGACCCTCCTGTGTGCACATGAACACACATGCACACCCAGCACCCCGAGTGCCTGGTCACATGCTGCATTCACCCAGACTTAGAGGTGCATGGCAAAAGTGCATAAGCTGTCCCCCCAAAGCAGGCTTCACCTAGTGGGTAATGCCAGGGCCTATGTGATGTAGGGTCCCTCTGGAAGCAGCACCCCAGGGACTTTTGGGGATGACCTACTGGGCCTGTAGGGAGCCAAGTGTGCAGCCCCCACGACTCAACTCGGAGTGACACAGGGCAGCTGCTGTGCCCAGAGAAGCAATCTGTGGGCTGAGACACCTTCCTCCTGCTACGCTGGCTCTCAATGCAGCTCCTGCCAGGAAAATGACAGATGGGCTTCAAGTTCACTGCTGAGTTAGGTTTCATGTGTGTGATGAGCAGCAAGAGAACCAAGGCCGCAGCCTGCTCTGCCCGGAAGGAATGGCTTTCAAGGAACTCTGGGTCCAGCACTCTATGAGGTGCAAGGAGCAGGGTGTGTCACTGAGAATTCGAGGCCAGCCTGGGATACATAGCGAGGACCCTGCCTCAAACAATTATCTTGGGGGACAGAATCAGCTATTGTCAGGTTTAGCAAAAACCAGTGTCTCATCTCCATGCCAAGAACACTGCATTGGGTTCCAGAAGGTGCCTCTGTCAACGAGTTCACAAGTTATCCCAAGAATGTTGGAGGCCCTGGCAGAGAAGGACGGCAGATGCCACTTGGTCTGGGTGGACTCAGAGCCCCAGCTGTCAGCTTGAGGATCCTGAGGCAGTGAGGGGCTGGAAGTGGCTCAGGGTGCAGGCACAGCAGAGCGCTGCTAATCCTCAACCACGTCAGCAATGACAGGGCTGTGGGACAGGAGGTCAGGGAGGGACAGCAGGGATAGGCGGAGGCAGCACAGCCTCCATCACCCTGGAATTTCCAGCCCGATCCTTATGGTGCCCAAGGGAACACCCACTCCCTGTCACTTCTCCAGATGCCTGGCACATCCCAAGTGGTGCAGAAGGATCAGTGGCACTAAGGACGTTATTTACATGGTGCCAGCTGCACCAAGTTTCCAGATGAAAGCTAAAATAAAATACTATAACGGAACACAAGCCAATCAAAGATTTTGCTCGCCCCTACTCTCTCGATTTTGTGGGGAGGGAGTTGAGATGAGGTCTCACTATACAGTTCAGGCTGATGGTGAACTTACTATGTAGCAGTGGCTGGCCTCAAACTCACCATGATGCTCCTGCCTCAGCTGCCCGAGGGCTGGGGTTATGAAAGTTTGCCACCAGGCCTGGCTTCATGTGGCACTGACCTTGCTATATTCCTCCAGGAAAGGAGGTGATCATGGCAAAATAAGAGCTGGAAGTGGCCAAGCCTGTAATCCTAGTATTCAGGAGGCTGAGGCAGGAGGATAGCCATTAGTTCTAGGCCATCCTGGGCACAAAATGGAGTTGAAGGCCAGCCTGAACTACATAGTAAGACTTTGTCTCAAAAAAGAAAACAACACAAAAGGTGAGGTTATGGGGCCTCTGAGACACACAGGGCACAAGTGCCATTAAACCCAGCGAGGCTCAGGTTTACCTACCTCCAACATCATGCTCTGCCCAGGTATCCATGGGAACTTCAGGGTTCCTGAGGACACTGGGCGGCACCAAGTGTCAGATGCTGCTATGGACTCTGCCCCCCTACCCCCCACCCCTTCCGTCTGCCCCTGGGCTGCATGGCCTGGGCCTGGCTGGATCTGGTTTCCTCTGGAGCTCTTGTCAAGGGTGGAGGCAGGAGCTCAGGACTCTGATCCTGGGAAACTGAGCTAAGTTCACATACCCAGCCCAGGTTCCACTGCATGGTGGGCTGGGAGGGGCATCCTTGCACACAACCTGGAGTAGGTCTGGTCTGAGAGGCTGTCTGGACTCAGACGCTGGGTCCCCTGCACTTGTGCCTTTGCCGGAGATGAAGTCTGTGGTGTACTGATTTTCCACTGTGTTCCCCTAAAAAAGGCATTTTCCCTTCATAGAGAAACAAATCTATATCAAGGTGATTTTTTAAAGACTAGCATTTGTGCCAGGTATGGCGGTGCATGCCTCTAAATCCAGCACTTGGGAACATGAGTTCAAGGCCAGATTGGGCTATATATTAAGACCCTGTCTCAAATAAATAAATAAATAAACACTTTAAAATAGCATCTACTTCTTCCTCCTCTAATGATACAATGATACATGCTTACTGTACAAAGCCTAGAAAATACAGAGGAATATGACTAGGGACAAAAATTCCTCGTCAGCTCATAAGGTGTTCATGAGTAATCCAGCAAGTGCCTAGACGATACCTCACGTCCTCATGGTGGCTGTGTTTCTGGCCCAGCAGAGTGGGGTCCTGCCTGGCTGGCTCATACTCATATTCGCCCCTCTCTGTGTCAATAATTGAAGTCTTTGCAGAAACAGGAAACAAAAGATGAGCCTGGCAAGATGGTGACCTCCGGAAGTGGCCCTGCCCAGCAGAAGCTCCGGATGGTGCCACACAGCCATGGTGTCACACAGTGAGTCCTTCCAGCAGGCCTCTGCCGATGAGATGCTGGCACCACCACCCCACACACATTAGCATATCCGAGGGTGGAGGGGCACTGGGTGCCACCTGGCCCTGGCTGGCAGTGCTGCTGATGCCGGGTCACTACACCACAAGCCAGCTCATCTGTCAAACGCTTCCTGCCTGACAGCCAGCTCAGAACAGAAAACCTGCTGCTGGCAGGAGCCCAAGGCAAAGCAGCACAGGAAGACACCTTGCTCTCTACTGGGCCCCAGTCCTACCTGGACACTGTTGATCTCTTTTTCCAGCTCCACCATTTTCTTGCTTTTTATATTCTTTTCTTAAGATTTTTTTTTTGTTTTTTTTGTTTTTTTGTTTTTTTTTTTTTATATTTTGAGACAGGGTCTCGCTATGCAGTTGAGGTTGGCCTGAACTCACTATGCAGCCCAGGCTGGCCTTGAACTCGCAGATCCTCCCCCTGCCTCAGTCTCCCGAGTGCTGGGATTATAGGCGTGCACCAGCATACCCTGTGCACATCTTCACTTATGATAATATATAGCTAACATGAGATAATATTTGCCCAGTATACTCACTTTCTGGCATGCGCTTTGGAAGTTTAAAACTACATAAACTGGGCCGGGCATGGTGTGCGCACCTGTAATCCCAGCACATGGGAGGCAGAGGCTGGAGAATCACTGTTAGCTCAAGACCAGCCTGAGCTACATAGTGATTTCCAGGTCAGTCTCAACTACATAATGAGACCCTGTCTCAAAAAAAAAAAAACCTACATAAACTGAAAATTTTAAGTCTAGCTTACAGATCTATTATTGCATTGTTTTATTACCCTACATGTAACAATCTAAAACTTCAAACTTTTTAACTAGTTTTAATGCTTGCCATTAAATCTTTCACCAATTGCCTCTTTACTCTTCAGTTATTTTTAATTTATGTTCTCTGTTGGCTGCAGTAAATCTGTCAACACATTTTTCAGAGAAGGTTCTAGGTTGACAGACTTTCTCCACCCCTGAATATCTGAGAATATCTTTCAGTCGTCTTCCTACAGAAATAAAAACTCAGCAGGGTATACGATTCTGGTTCAAAATTATTTTCCCTCCAAACTCTAAGATCATATATTGTTTCGCTGAGTCTTTGTTTTTTTTGAGACAGGGTCTCACTATGTGTTCAGGCTGATTCTGACCTCACTATGTAGCTCATGTTAGCTTCGATCTCATGGTGTTCCTCCTGTCTCAGTCTCTCGAGTGCTGGGGTACCAGGCGTGTGCCACCACACCTGGCTTGTCCCATTGTCTTCTGGAATTTAGAATTGCAAGAGAAAAATCTGAGGTCAGATTGACTTTTGCCCCTTTCTAGGTAACCTGCTTTCTCTGGATACTTGCAAAATCTTTTATCTTTGAAATTTTAAAAAGTACATGGGATTATGCCTAGGTATTGCTCTCTTCCCATTACATTTGAAAGTTCCCTGTGGACCTTCTTTTGAAGGTCTACTTCTTTCTTCAATACTGGAAAGTTTTCTTCCATTAGTCCCTTATTGATTATTTTAGCTCATTTGCTTTATACCGTTTCAGGTATTCCTACTATGCGTAGACTGTTATCTCCTACATGGGCCCTTTTACTATCTTGATTTTTTTTTCTTTTTCTCTGCATTTGTTGGGAATTTTTCTCATTTTGCATTCATTTCAGCAATTTTCTTTTGTGGCCAATCCCTCTTGCCCATCTCCATGAGCTCTTGCATTTGAGCAGTCTTCCACTGGCTCTCACATGCTCGGCTTTACCACTGAGCAGTGTCTTCATGCCCAGTCACAGATATTCAACCCTTCCAGCTCTGCTATGGAGACCAGTACTCGTGTTTCTCCATGACCTACCTGTGCTCCTTTCTTCTGAACTATGGTACTATGACCTTCGCAATGGCTCTTCCAAAGTGCCCAAGTTGAAGGTCCAAAGTGGTCTGGATGACACCTTACACTTCCACTGCTATGGTGCCTTACAAAGGGTAAGGCAAGGGGCCTCAGCTGTAGCAAGTGCTCTGTTTTGGGGACTTCCAGCCTCACTCAAGCTAATACATTTTACTTCTTTGTAAGGACCCAGCCCCAGGAATTTTGGTACAGTAGTGTGAAATGTATACACACAGGAAAGCCCTGGGGAGCTGAAGAAGAGAGGAGACTCCTTTGTTCTACTCCTAACGTGACCATGAGACCACAGAGCTGCCCAACCTGTGTCCCTCACTGGATAGGCGAGCTGGCCCTGTCCCCATTCCCTCAGTCTCCAACACATCAGGAAGAATAGCACCTTCCTTTCTCTGCCTCTTAGATGTGTTAGTTTACAATGGCAAGTGGTGCATATTGCAAACTGTTTTCAAATCCTCTTAAAGGCAGTCCAGTGATTATGTGACAATCGTCATGAATTTATTCCCAAAAAGAAGAGAACAGGCAGCTGTTCTATTGTTGCTAAGTGTGCTGGCGGCTGAGGAAAAGCTCCTTGGTGCCAGTGTCACACAGACAGAAGGGGACCCTTGGTATCTTTGGGTGATGTGTCCTAAGACCCCCAGTGCATGCCCAAAAGGGAAAGTAGTACTAAGACCTATAATTAAATGCCTTTCCAATTTAACTACATTCTTATTGAGCTCTGTAGCTCGACCTTTTTTTTTTTTTTTTTTTTTTTTTTTTTT